CCCCAAAACCCCAAAACCCCAAAACCCCAAAACCCCAAAGCCCCATAAGAATCAAATAAATTTAAATATGAGTCACCTAAGCCCTGTACTCCTCCCCTTCTCTAACCTCCAGGTCCCCCACAGCCCTTCTCCAGACCCCACTCAGCCCTATCCCACCCAAAATCCCCCAAAATCCCAACCTAAAAATCCCAAACACCACAACACGTACATGAGAGATCTCAAGAACAGATACAAACGTAAATTATTTCATCCTAATGGTCACGACCCTGTAGAGATTTATGCAAAGTTATGCTTCGATTCCGCAGTCAGGTAATACAGAAGAGGGGAAGTATAGAGTCAGGTTGGCTAATAGGTCGGCGAAAAGGTTCAGACCCATGAAAGGACTGGATAGCCAGAAGGGAAAAGGGAAAGAGAAAGGTACTAGAGGGATAGAGATAGGTAGGCTTATTGGTTCATGCTTTTAGATAAGGATATTAAGCAATCCCAGACTCAGATATAAATCTTAAGGTCTCAGATGATGTTGTACTTGAGGAAAATATTACGCCTAATATGTTCAATGTTGAGCCAACCAAGAAGTAATTTTAGAAGAAATTTAGTAGGAAAACTTCTCAAAGAAGACCAAAAAGTTCATATAAGCCTGTAAAAAGAGTCAAACATTTTGCTAATGATGGGAATCTTAAGGATTCAGCAAAGGTGTATTCCCAGATTCATGAGAATTTTCAGAATGAAAGAAGGCTCTACTCAAAATCTAGGGCTGATAAGATCGTTAAGGATTATAACCTAAGGTAATTCAATCTCAATTGATATTTTAGGAGCAATCAGAACATCACCGAGTTGAGGAGTAAGCCATCCAATAGGAGCCAGATCACAGGAAGTGCCAAGCCAAAACGGCCTTTCACTGCAAAAACTCGTGTTGGAAGAAATAAAAGGAGATCCCAGATCATTGAGGATATCAAAAGTATCACAGTTTTGCTATAAAATAGGCTATAAACCAGTCCTTAAGGGAGGAAGGAGCAGCAGCAAGAAATATTTTAGGTCTGATCATGTGGTTTCAACCTATATACCTAATCCAAAGAAACAGAAGAAGATTGCAAAGGTATCTACTATCAAACATGTATTATAGAGATTACTCAAAGCTCGCCAATATAAACATTACAGCAGTGATGTTCTGACAGATCATCTTGGATGCGGTGAATATTTTGATAATAGTACAGTAAAATCGAAAGTTACTAAGAAGACAAGTTCACAGAAAAGCCTGAGCCCACAGAAATCATATCAACGTAGAAGAAAGAATATCATGAAAAGGCTTAGTGAGGATTCTCAATGAAATTTCTGGCCAACCCAAATGAAAGTCCCCGAAATGTACAAGTCATTCTATTGGTCTCCTGATTACAGTTATTGAGGGTTTGCGACAGATGGTAATATTCGGAAGACAGCACAAAAATGGCATAAAGGTAGGAATCAATGCTAATCCTATAGCTCCTAACCTGTCATTTAACAAACGACTGAAGGACTCAAAGAACATGAAGGCCATTAAGAATATTTCCTGAATTCCAGTGATTGCTGAAGAACTGAAGTAGATGTATTTCAATATCATTAAATATTTATGGGGTTTTGGGGTTTTGGGGTTTTGGGGTTTTGGGGTTTTGGGG